ACACACACACACACACGGAGAAGGATCAAAAGATGAGAGAGGGAGAGAGAAACAACAAACAGCAGCATGTCAGCCATTTTCTGGCCTCACACGAATCTCTGACTGAAATCTGAACTGATCATCTATCAGATCTATAAGGAGTGTATCCATCCAAAGCACTTAGGGCATTTTGAGACAAGAGTTGGTGTCTAAAGGTTTAAAGCCATTATCCAATGTTGCTCTGTGTGTAATTATGCAGAAAGAAAGAAAACACATATAGGGGCCCCCAGAGCAAGAATCTGTTTCTGGGTCCCAGTTAAGGAGTAAAAACTGGATTTTTATTAAAGACAGGATGCATTCGTTGGTATATGAGTGGCTGCCCTGGGGCTGTTTCCGGCTTTGCCTCGTTGGTGAATCGACCTTGCCGATGATTTGACTGAATGAGGTTCAAATTGAAAACCATTAATCGTATTAATCAATATCTTGATTAAAAGCACTGATTCCCAGCCCCCCATGGTGTATGGACCCGTACCAGGCAATGCAACATGTTCTACCAACCTAAGAACAACAATATGACTCAGCAGAAAGAGGTGAATAATAGGTTTTTAGGCTATTACAGGCTATGTTTGGGGTAATAACCTTGAACATTCCTCACTGGTCCCTGTCATCACTCACTTAATAGGGTGTAAATATTAAGAAAGAAAGCTTTAATTGTAGATTAAAGGACTAATCTGTGAAATTTTGTATCTGTTGTTTTTGGCAGAAACCTACAACTGAACTAAATAGTTTAGTTAAAAAAAGTTCTATCCTGGTGATATGCTGCATTTTTGACTCTTTTAAACCAGGTAACTAACATGTAACTTCAGTCTGGTGTGTTGGATGGGTCTTACCTTCTATAGGTGATGTTTTCAGGCGGCGGCAGATGCCTTGCACGTCTCCGTACGTTTCCTGTATCTTGTTGACGGCCTCGGCGCTCCGCAGCTCCATCAGGTCCCTCAGATCAGCCACGGTCACCCCAAAGTCCCCGTCATGGTTGCCCTCTGCAACCGAATTCCCCGGAGGGTGGTCCGCCGTGTTGTTGGCCATGTTGGTCCTCTTCAGAGAAGTGTTGTTGTTGTTGTTGTTGTTGTAGTTGTTGTTCCTCTGAGTGTCTTTTTTCTTTTTAAAGTGATCTCAACTGCAGACCAGTAGTCAGTTCACAGGAATTGTGGGTAGTGTAGTTCTCAGAGGGGGCAGGCGGAGGAGATGAGCGCTGAGGTTAACTCCTGAACCGGACGTGCATGCTCCTCTCGGGTTACCATGGAAACAGGGGAGTAAACATGTTCTTGTCGCTGCAGAGGAAACAGGAAGACAGATTGTAATAAACCGGATCCACTCAGGAGTCTGTACACACAGCAGTTACACATCAGCAGCAGCAGACAGATCAGTTCGGGGCTCTGTTTGATTTTACCTAATTAATAGCGCAGAGACTAATTGGCCCAATTAGAGGAGAGTTTCTCATCTCGGATTATTAAAGGAGTCCGCTGAATCACCGAGGTCATTACGATATAAAGTGATTATCGGTTCGCGCTGCTCCTCTGAGACACATAATTGGTTGGTTAAATATCTGCTTGCCCTGAACCGTCCGCAGAGTTTATGACTCTGTTGTAGAAAGAACATTAAACTTTTAGTCTCATTTTGTCTTTTCTCTCATTTATGGATCAAACCAGTATGTCAAGTTCAATCTGTTTAACTCAAGTTAGAAAATAAACCTTCCAACACTCATTAACACTCAGATTAAAAGTTTGGCAGTGATAACAATAAGAAACGAAGGGAAAGGGTATTCCTTACGTTGTCACATGGAAATGAGAACTCAATGCAATAACAACCATTTACAACCTCGTGTACTTTAAACTTAGATCTGCCTGACAGTTCAGCATCCCTTCTACAGCTGAGTTAATCTATAAATCCTCAATGTGCCGATAGGAGCACAGACATACAACGAGCTAAACACACTCCCAATAAAAGCTGAAGTCAGGAGTCGGCCTTTCATCAGCTGGAAGCAAAAGTGAAACAGTGTTGGCTAACAAATTCAATTATAGTGATTACAAGTCAGAAAAAAAGGATAAGATACCTCAACCTCAAAACCAAACACATTGTAAAAAAAATAATAATAAAAAAATCTGTATAGTCCCAGTGAAGCTGGAGTCTTTTGTCCTGTTGATACAGAACCAGAGTTCAGGACTGAGTACGCTGCAGCTCTGCGAGCCAATCAACACCAAGTAGAGGATGATACGCCAATGAAAGGCAGAACTCCACTGGGTCAGTGTGCGAGTGTGCGGGGCTTTCCAACCCATCAACACAGATTATGTAAGTGCACATCAAAGGATGGCCTCCATTTTTCACTGTTCAGTGTTCTGTCATGGACACACACACACACACCATCACAGCCTAAATACTGCTGTTAGTGCTGGAGTCAGACTTCTCCAGAGTGGTAGTTTGTGTTATAGGTGACACAGGCAATCACCAAGGACACTGGTTCTCCCTTTTATGTAACGATGATTTGTGGGTTGTTGTTGTTTTTTTGGATCAGATAAAATACAAATTAGACACAAAATTGCAGAACTCAGAAGAATATTTATGCAACACTAATTGAGGAAAATCTACACTCTGCTGTCTGCAGTGCATTTGTTCTGAAGTGAGTTTAAAGATTTAGGGGTTTGTGGTTGCGGATTACAACACCCTTACCTCACCCTCTCAACATAGGAGGAACTACGGTGGCT